TTGAGTTCTGAAGAATCAAGCGATAACAACCTGTCAAATCATTGTTTCTCTGGTGAAGTTCTACTTCAGACGTTACAGGTTAGATTGAAATCAGGAAATAAAGAAAAACAAGTATGGGCACTCATCGATAGTGGTTCCCAACATTCATACATATTGAAGACAACTGTAGAAGAGATGGATATGGAACCAAATGGTAAGAGGTTTTTGATTCACACACTTTTTAGAGGATTAACGACAGAGATGAAGGAGCATCGTCAGTATGAACTTGACACTGAATTCTTAAACAATACATTTTCCTGTAAAATAGAAGCTCTAGATCAGTCTATTATTTGTGGAAAAATTCTGCGACTAAAGAAAGGAGGATCATGGGTAAAAGAGTTAAAGGAAAAGAAGATATGGCTTAATGATTATGCAGAGAATTTTTCCGATATCGAGATATTGATTGGAGTTGATTTTTGTGGTCATTTGTTTATGGGGGAAAACTCATTATCTTATGTGTGGCTTAGTCGCATATGAAACGCTTTTGGGCTGGCTGATTATGGGCAAAATGTTTGATAACAATCCTGTTAACACTTCTACAAACTTAATCACCTCTCTACTGATAAAAAATGCATCAATTGCTGATCTGTGGAACTTGGATAATCTAGGCATCAGAGATCCTGTTGAAATAAAATCTTAAGAAGAGACACATTAGTTAGTTATGCAACAGTTTCAGCGAACAGTGAGAAGGGATAAAGAAGGTCGTTACATCGTGAAGCTCCCTTGGATAGAAGAATAGGAGATTTTGAAGGAAAATAAAATGGTTGCAGAGAGCAGGTGTGCATCAACTGCGGAGAAAATTATTAAGGAAGGCACACATGCAGATTATGATGCTGTTTTCCAGGAATGGTTAGCGGAAAATATTATTGAAGAAGTACCACCTGAGGAAGAAAATAAAATCCCCATGCCATTATTTACCCCATTGAGGCGCTTTCAATAAAAACTCCACCAAAAGGGTTCCACCTGTTTTCGATGCTTCATGTAGATCCGGACATTCTGCATCACTTAGTGATGTTCTAGAGAAAGGACCAAACCTCTTAGTGAAAATCCTTCCACTTCTACTGAGGTTTCGAGAAAGATCAATTGTCATCATTTCAGACATAAGAAATGCTGGCTGATCTTTGGAATATGGTAACTGCTAGTTTGGCGACATTTTGGAGGCAATAAAGGTTACTACCTAGGACTTTGGTAATAATGTGAGAGGTACTCAGTTCCGATTACGCATTATTTTGTGTGAGGGAAAAGATATGTCATGTGACATTAATGGACGAATTACAGTTCTTTAATCAGAAAAGGGGGGGGAATTTGGAAAACTGTAGTACTATATTATTTTGTATTAAGCTTCATTGTGTGTTGTGTGAAATAGTGGAAGTGTGCGTGCCACGTAATGAAGATTCTGAAGATTAGGTAAGTTAGTATTTTTAATCATTTGAGGATATTATTTTTATGCATTGTTCTAAATGTAAGGAGTAAATAAATTAATATGGTATTATTGGAAAATTGTTATTAGCAATGATTTAGTTTAAAGTAATTAGGATTGTAATCTAATTTTTATTAATTTAATGTATGTGCTTATTTATATTTTAAGTAGTGTTTTTTAATTTAATTATATTTTAATTTAATGATCGTGATTTTGTGAGTTATATGTTTGTAGTATTTTGGAATACGTTTGAGTAGAATACGTTGAGTATTTTCATGCATTTTCGTGAAATTTTTTTAATTTATGAGAAAAAAGCAGTGTACATGGATATAGTGAAGAGTGTGCGCAATGCCATTTTTGTGCAATTCTGGGATGTTTTTTTAAGTAAAAATAAGTCGACGTGTACATGGTTTAGTGATATTTTAATTAAATGATAGTTATTTTGTGAATTTTATGTTTGTAGGAATTTGGTATACGTTTCAGTTGAAGTAAACGTGCATGGAAATAATTTAAATATTTGACACTAAGTATTTGTAACCATTTTTAATGTTTGCGGTATGAATTCGTTGGTGACGTTTATAATATAATAGATAATTTAGAGGTAAAAGTTTTTGGATATTTTATTTTATTTTATACGTGGAAATGTTCATCCTTGGAAAGGGTATATACTTTTTCGCGATCAGGTAATTTCATATATGTGCTTTTTACCGAGTTTAAAGATTCACAGAATTTTTTGCATTTTCGTGCAAATTTTTGTAATTTATGAAAAATAGCAGTGTAGATGGATAAAGTTAAGAGTGTGTGCAATGCCATTTTTGTGCAATTCTGGGATGTTTTTTTAAGTAAAAATAAGTCGACGTGTAAATGGTTTATGTGTATGTGCTATTCTGAAAAACGCGCAAGGAGTTTGCGATTGTGCACTTTTTCCCAATTTTGCAGTTAATATTTGTCATGATTAAGCAGTTTTGTTACATAAAATTTCTAGCATAAGTGTAATTCGGCTAGTAGATTGTTGGAAAAAGTGTTCAGTAAATAAAAAGAAAAGAAACATGTCTTTACTTCGTGAAGACAAAATGGCGGCGAAAAAAAAAAAAATAGAGGGTTGCTGTAGCAGAGTTGGTCGCCAAATTTTCGCCAAAAAAATCGCCAAGTTACCATAATCCAAGATACTAGGTCCAATTCGTCGAAAGAAGATCAGCATTTGATTTTGTAGGAAATTCAGAAAAGATAAAAATTTACCCCAAAAGGTATCTTGGCCACGCAGCGTTCGCTAGCGCAGCTTATTTTCATTAAAGGAATATTTTTTTAATTAAAGGAAATTACGAGATTTCAGAAACTGTGCAGAAGTTAAGAAATGCCTTTTATGTGGATAACTGTGTAATGTCTTTATCTGATGAAAAGGAATTACTGCAATTTGTACATGAGGCTAAACAAATTCTAGCTTCAGCATGTTTTGACTTACATGGATGGAAATATACTTCTTTAACAAGAGATAAAATGGAAAAGGAATCTCACGTTCTTGGATTATTGTGGGACAGAAATAAAGATTTCCTTTTTTTGTAACATAGAAAATGTTTCCTTTAAGAAAGAACCTGTAACAAGAAGAAATATTCTTTCAGCTGCCAACAGTATTTTTGATCCCATTGGAATGTTGTGCCCAGTAACTGTATGCATGAAGATGCTAATACAAGAAAGCTGGACTTTTAAATCAAGCTGGGATGAGGTATGTCCTGAAAGTGTTTGTAAATGGTTTTCACTGTGGATGGAAGATCTTCATTTATTTATCGGAAATTAAAATTCCAAGATATGTTGATTATGATGGTTCCCGATATGGATTAAGTCTTCACACTTTTGTAGATGCTAGTAAATCTGCATACAGCGCAGTTGTATTTCTTCGTAAAGAAAACCGTGGTGAAGTAAAAATTCATTTAATTCAAGCTAAAAGCAGAGTAACTCCCTTAGAGAAAGCAACAATTCCCAGATTGATTTATTAGCCAGTTGTGTAGGAGCATGCAATATAACTTACATTATAAAAGAAATCAATTTGACAGAAGTCCCAACCACATGTTGGACAGATTCTTCAACCGCTTTGTTTTGGATTAAGAATGAAGATAATTGGAATACTTTCGTTAAAAATAGAGTTAAATAGAGGAATAATATTAATTAAAAATAGAGGAAATTCGAAGTATCACTTCAGTGGATTCATGGAAACATATTCCTGGCAGTCATAATCCTGCAGACCTTCCATCCAGAGATTGTTCTTCAAGATTTTTACTTACATTGAAATGGTGGGAGAGACCAGAGTGGCTAAAGCAATCCGAAGACAACTGGCCCAAATCTCAGATTCAAACCAATAGTGAAAAAGTTTACGAAGAGCGAAAGAAGGGAGAAACTGCTATGAGCTATGGTACTTACGACGATTTTCCAAGTATTCATAGATTTTGAGACTAATAGCCTGGATATTGCATTTCTACAATAATTGTAAAAATTTTTAAAGTATAATGAAAGGAAAGTTGTCTGTACAAGAAATTTCATGCCAACTGTTTCCGATTAAAGGGAACAGTCCTCATAAATCCGAAAATGTTAAAAGGGGCAGTGACTTTAAAGAAACTAATTTCAAACTAAAAAACTAGATGTGGCAATTTTTTAAGTATATGTTCTGTATTATTATTTAACTTATGTTGTGAGTATATTGAGTAGAAAGTTTAAATTTTTATTTTTATTTAATGTTTTGATTTTGATAGACCATTTTAAGAGAATCAAAAGGTGGGAGTATGTTGGGAGCTCCATGATTTATATTTGTTAATGATATTCAACAGCCATTGTGTTCCTTATTTGACAGAGTTTTGCTTTTGTAGTTTGGCAACAGTAAGAAAGATTAGAATAATGTTTTGATTTCCTTAAGTGTGTAAGCAAATAAAGTTTGGCTTTCTAAGCAAAAAATGTAATTGTAAGTGTTATAGAATGGAGTCAGATTTAATTTAAAGGCGAGAACGACTGAATGAAATAATATTCAGGTAGATTCAACACAATATTGGGTACCCCTTCGATTAGCAAAATTTTTTTTTTTTTTTTTTTTTTTTTTAGCAATTAAACCTCATTTCTAGTTACCATGATAGTTTTAACTTTTAGCTTCCTGATTTTTTTTAAATGAAAATAGCGTGATGTGTACATGGGCAAATTTAAGGCTGTGCACAATGTCTAGTTTGTGCAATTCAGGGATTTTTTTTTTTAAAGTGAAAACTGATCGAAGTGTACATGAACACATAGTTCGTGCAATTCTTTGACTTCTTATTTTGGTTTTGTGTAGCGGCCATCTTGAAATTGTGCCTCTCTGGCGCGGATCTTGGCGTCAAAAAAGAATCGCTAAAAAACAAGGGCACCCAATTGTAAACTTTTACCGAATACAGATTCAATAGTTTTCACATAATATTTTTAGAAATTCACATCTAAATGATATTGTAACATTACCTAGAAAACAATTACAAAAATCTGCATAATTGATTTTTTGACAAAACAATTATAAATATTCAGTACATACCTGATAAGGCGAAAAGGAACAATACTAATGCAATGAGACTTCCGTAGCACCAATATATAACAAAAATTACAAATACGGCAGCACTGCATGTCATCGAGCATTTCATAATGATAAACAGAGCTAGGTTGCTTACAATTTTAATATCCCTAAAACCTGTTTTCTTAGGAATCTTGGATACTTCAGTAGGAATTTCCACAGTGGCATTGTTTTGAAGACGAAAGGAATCATTTTTATCACATCTGATAGGAAAAGGTTCTTTTGTAGCGCCAAATGACCCAACATCCGTCTTCAACTTCGCCATTGATAGATATTAATACCTACAATTTGAAATAAATAAAATAGATAAAAGCGAGTTTATTATTAAACTAGAGCAGCCTATAACATAATCTTAAAATACTATAAAACACAGGTGTACCTTGAAACGATTACCATATTGACATACAATAATATACACGGATCTATTTCTCACAGCCAAATCAAGATCTTTCAGCTTGTTGGCGAAAATTTTCTCACGAATTTCACCTTTTCGAACAAAGAGGTTAGAGTATACCGAATCATTTTTTAACAATGAGTAATTTTTAACATTATTTTAAAATAATTTATTAAACACATACACTGTTTTGAATCTTTGCTGAACCATTAACTTTGCAGAAGTTTGTAGTGCTGTTTTGAATTCGGTTGAACTATCAATGGAGATACGTCAGATTTCACTTTTATGATGCTTATATGTAAATATTAGATGCAATTAGTGAAATATCAACGTCGACTGTCGTGAAAATATGCATGCTAAATGTAAAATAATTAGATGTTGGCAAACCATGGGTTTATGTCACCGATTACAGCTTCGCGATGACTGCTTAAACGGTATAATGGTTAGGGTAGCCCATATTTTACTGATCTTGTGGGAGCCTGACTGAGATACCAAAGACGTTCTTTGACCGAAATGCACGGGTTCGAATCAAGGAGAAGACATGGATGTAAAAACTGTCTGTCCATTCGTAGGAGGCAAAGGTGGCCCACCCATTAGGTGCCTATATAAGAAAGAGACCACCACATTTGGCTTTAGCAGTGGCCAATGCCGACATAGACAAGTGCCCGCTTTTGAAAAAAAAATGTTTTTTTGGCGACGAGTTAAAGTTAGTTTTCCATTTCTAATTTTATTAATTTTCTTCGAAAGTAGTTTTGTTATTTTTCATTTAATATTTGAAGGTTTCGGAACAAATTAAAAAATATTAATCAATGCTATGAATCAACGACTACTGGTTGAGCGATCAGTCTCAAAATAAAAACTACATATCACTGCGTTTAAGGGTAACAATAATGCTGATTTGTTTTGTTAGGTTTTATTTAATGTTTTATATGCCCTTTCATTTTAATTTTACTTGCTTACTTTTTTTTTTCCCTATAATAATTATTGTAAGTTTTGTTTCTTGGAAGAAGCAGAAAAACAACTTTTACAATGAGCTAAAAATATATGTGTTTAGTAGGCTTATTAAAGAATATTTGTTGGTTACAAAAGAGATATATTTTATTTAAGATCCAAACCTATTTTCAAACATAAACCATACTTTAGAATATTTATTAGTCTGTAAAATCTGTGATAATCCTGGCAGCATAATAGGGCTGTATTTGGAAATGGGAGACGCGCAATGTTTTCGTTCATATGTGGATTACCTGTCTGATTGCTTTTTTTTTTTATGCTTTTTACTAGATAATCGACTACTGGATGGTCTACTTTTCTGGATGGCCTCGTAACTTTGTGATCCAATCGCAAATAATCTGAAGGCATGTTTACTGAATTACGTATCATTCTAAAAATGGAATTGGTTGTTGAAAAACACTATCTTTAAGAGTTAATTTTACGAAAAGCTATTAATGACTGAATGACTTATTAAAAAGAGATCTAATTTTGCTAATTTACGTAGAATTTTTTCTCAGCTAACTGAAATAGATAATGAAATAAGCTCTTTATTACTAGAAGATGAAAATAATAAATAGTATTAAAATGAACAAGAGATATTAGAAAAATTGTAATGAAAATTTCGTAAAAGCAGAAGTAAACGTAGAAATCTATTTTAAGAAAATTTTGAAAGCCTAAAGTTCCGTGAATTCTTCCCGCTCAAAAACGAAACTTATAATTGCCAAAATTGAGCTTTTGAAATTTGGTGGGAAAACCAGAGACTGGTTTGCTTTTTGGAGTCAGTTTAAAAGAATACGTGAAGACGAAAATATTGAGACAGAAGATAAGTGTACTTCATATAATGTATATCTAAAGGCTCTAGAAGTCACGATATTATTGACAGTTACCCATAGACATGTGAAAATTAGGATAAGACAATCATTTAAAATCAAGATTAGTCTGAATAAATTGCTAACTGAGTTCAATATAAGCGAATTTTTAACCCTTGTAAAAAAAACATTATTTAAAAAAAAAACGGAAATTAGACACATGGAAATTATATGACAAATTAAAATCATATCTGAGAGCGCTAGAGTCCATTCGTTAAACATCTGATACATATTCGCTAAGCTTTTTCCTCTTGCAATATCTTGTATCTCGGAAGACATTTTTAGAGTGCTTAATAAACCCTGTAGTTATGGATTGTTCTGAAGAGAATGCTTATAAGAAGAAGTTAAAAAATTTGGTACTTTACCATTATGCACCTGCCACACATTTTCTATGTATTTTTTTCAACTGTAAACAGATTCTCGTTATAAGAGTAGTTTATAGATGACAAATACATACACTGCGTGGTAGATGATGGTCAATCGATCATCACCAACCAAGCTGTATGGCGCACGGCAGGTGCATGAGTTTCATGAACAGTTGAATGAAAGGAACAATTTTTGGCGCTAAAGCTACTGCACTCAATAAACCAATGGAATAAAATATTATCTGTATCGAAGCCAATATAATTCCTTTTATAAATATTCGCTCATCACTAAATTTTTCCAAATTGAAATTGCATCATCTTAAGGTATCCTCATCTAAATCCTATGCAATACGTAATAATTTAGTCACATTTTTATTTTTAGATACAACATTACGATCTGTACTGCTTTCTCAGTTCCTTACATTAAAACAACCTCGAGATGTAATCTTCTTAGCTTTTTCAATAAACGTCTGTTGTTCTCTCATAGCTGAAACACCTTGACACTAACATATCTGACACCTTGACATAGCTTTTTTTAATGTTGAAGACAGAAAAAATGTGAAGTGCTCTCGCCGGACCTCCCGAATACGTGTCGAGTGTGTTTCCAGTTACAACACGAAGGCAACCGGGTAGGAGAAGAAAATACCTTATTACTCAAGTGTATACATAAAACGGATATTTTTAATTTCTGAGCAAATTCTTCTAATTCAAATGGCATATGATCCAGCAAATGCGAAACTGAAGCTGCCAACAGAAATGACTCGACGTGATATCGAGCACTAAAAAGTCGTAAAAAATCTCGATGTTCAAGCACTGATGTTTATTTAGCCAACTATAAAAACGCTTTTTCTGTATCAGCTGAAAGTCCAATCGGATGACTTAGAAGTCTATCAATAACAGCAGAAATGAGCTCTATGAAATTAGGTCATTTATACAAGAGATCATTTAAAGAACATTTTCTACTTTCTCAGCAAATGCGTCAAATACACGTCTAATTTTTGTTATTATGTTATCACTTTTAAAGACAGGCCGATAAAATAAAAAAATGACTACTTCTGGTATCATCTGTATCCCTCTGAAAGATGATTTAGAGATATGAGCTAAAAGACGTTTATGTTCATAATCTATAAAAACGTGTTTGGAAACGGTGAATCAAAATCGTCATCTGAAGATTCTAAATTCTTAGTTTCTCTTTTTAAGACCAGCTCTCAAGTAATATAATTTCTATGACTTATCAAGTTGCTTATTATTAAATATCAGATTTCGGAAGCGAGTTTTAAAATTTACAAAATCACAATACAAGCCACTAAAGAAGGGAAGGGAAGGGAATTTCAGGTAGATGAACTTTTGCTTTTGGTCCAGTTGTCATAGAATTACTGTTTATATTAGCACCAGCAATATCAGATGTAGTTTTAAATGAGATTAATATAATTTCAAATTTACATCAATAGATGCCAAAGATGTTCTTTTGCGTGAACAATATTGTTCTCCATATTCTCAAGACCTTCAATGTTCAGTACCTTCGTAATATACCGGGTGGCCATAATTAAACTAACAGTGCTCACAGTGTTCTGTAGCGCGATCTATTTGCGAGAATGACGCCACATTTTGTAGGAAGATTAAACAAGACGGGGGACGAAGGATTCCGCGAACAAAAATTAGTTCCAAAAGTCACCGCTAGGGGAATATTTGGTGCTGTGTAGTAGAAAATAGAGTGTTAACAAATGCAAATTAATACGGAATAAAATTTATCGTAGGTCCATTCTTCTATGAGAACATTACCCCGACAGGACCGGAACCTGTTCTGTTATCGGAGAGAAATATCGCCACATGTTGAACAGCTTTGTCATTCTGGCACTTCAGCAAAGACAGTGCCGGTGGGAAATCATTTTCATGCAAGACGGAGCCCCTCCACACGTTGCTGTACGGGTGCAACAAATGCTACGACAGAAATTCACAACAGAAAGAGTCATTAGCCGCTACTTTCCAAATGCATGGCCACCTCGGTCGCCTGATCTTACCCCATGCGACTTCTGGCTATGGGGTTACCTTAAGTCCAAGGTCTATCAAGGCCGATTGACGAAATTCAACTTGTGTTTTTCATGTCTCGAAAATGCGACTTAAAATATGTATTAGATTTATATATAGCATTGTATCAATTCAGACATTTTGACACAAAATCAGACTTTTTCTGTAATGACATGCCAATTTTTTTCATATTTCGATTCTAAGACTCATTATGCCTAAACATTAAATTTTGCAATATTTGATACGAAATTTACGGAGGAATTCAAAAATTTATCTTGGCGCATTTTTCTCAGTTTGCGCCAAGAAAAATTTTCAGTTTGCACTTGGAAAACTTCTTAATATACGGCAACCTATTTTCCTTTCCCTTTTTACATTGTGGTTGAGAGGAAAAATAGTCACTTTGATAATACTTTCAAATAGTTTTTATCAAAGTGCTTATATCGCATTTGGTGTTATTATCGCTTTCAACAAATATACCAAATTTCAAAACGCGCCAATATATATATTCACGTATATTTGAGGAATATAAATTGTATAACTGTTTGAAACTGTTATAACTGTTTTGAATAAAAAATAATTTTTTGCAGGTATGCTTAGAAATACATCTACATTAAGATGATGGTAAATATTTTATAGAATATAATTCAAAATGTTTTTCGAGAAATTTATAAAGATTATTTTAAAGTATAATTTTTTAAAATAAATCATAAAAAAATAAGCGAATTTTATTTGGAATGAACCCAAATTTCGAAATGTGAAAGGAAGGCTCAAATAAGTTTAATAAAAAAAAGAGATTAATAAGTATCGGGTCAGTCCATAAGTTCGTGCGCATTAAGAGTATGCGTGGAATT